ATGCCTCCCCTGCAGGACCCAACTCCACCAGCAGCTTACAGTTTTCTATGAGGAGCCGCCAACTGGGCCTCAGAGCCCTTCGCTCAATCAGAGGCCCCACCAGTGTTGTCTGGTTCACTCCAAGACCTCCCTTCCCGGCCTTGTGCCCCGCTTTGGGCACCAAGGGTTCTTCCAGCTCTTGTGCGGGGGAATCTAGTCACTGCTGGCTGCGTTTACCTAGCCTTATTTCATAGATTTCATAGACATTAGGGCTGGAAGGGACCTCGGAAGATCATCGAGTCCAGCCCCCTGCCCAAAGGGCAGGAAGTCAGCTGGGGTCATAGGATCCCAGCAAGATAAGCATCCAGTTTGCTCTTGAAGGTGTTCAATGTAGGTGCTTGAACCACCTCCGGTGGCAGGCTGTTCCAGACCTTGGGGGCTCGGACAGTAAAGAAATTCTTCCTTATGTCTAGGCCTTCCCTTTCCTGGGCCCTGCTCGAGGCTCTGGGGCTCTTTTAGTTCTTTGGCTGGACCGCACTGCAGGGCTCCAGTTGTCCGGCTTATGCTGGGGCTAACCTTTCGGCCAGGCTGCACTGCGGGGCTCCGGTTATCCGGCTTATTCCGAGGCTAACCTGAGCAGCCTCAAGCTGCTCCCAGGGCAGGTTTTCTGTGTGCCGAACTGCACACTGCATGGGGCCCGAGCAGCCTCAAGCTGCTCCCAGGACTGGCTTTGTGTGTTGGTCTGTGCACCGCTCCGTCCAGCCCTCTGCTGAGGATACAGGCTCGAGCTGCCGTGACTTGGTTGAGAAGAGTCCAAGCCAACATTTTAACTACCATGTAATCTCACCCCTGTCAGACCACGTCTACCACTACCATGGCAGGGAGCTCAAAACCAGTCAATGGCCACCATTCCCTTATCAGCCAAAGCTGCTGTGGCTGCTGCTGGCAGAGTTAAACTATTTCTATAACTATTGCTTTTATCTACACTGGAGGCCCCGCCCCTGAAGTCTGCCAGACCTGCAAAGCACAGTCTTCAATCAGGTCCAGGGACTCCTCCCCCCTCAATGTTCCACCAATCATCCAAAGTGTCCTTGTCCAAGCCGGGCTTGCCGGGCAAAAGCAGTGAGCCTGCCACACTAGTAATGGTGGGAAATGTTTAGCCAAAGTTTGCTACTCTTGGCAACATTCACTGATGCGATTTAAGGTTATTGGGACTGATTGAGTAAAGGACAGGAGGAAAAATCTAAGTGGAGAGAGGGTGAGCCCCTGCTCCCTGGGAAAGGAAGGGAAGGGAATGCACCTGTGGGTGACAGCAGGCAGTAAAGCAGGAAGAGAAGCGCCTGAGAAGATAAGGAAAGAGACCGAAGAATAGCATGTTGGTGGAGCAGAGCAGGCAAGGAGTGAATGGCCTTAGCTGCCTTCATAGATTTTCATAGACATTAGGGCTGGAAGGGACCTTGGAAGATCATCGAGTCCAGCCCCCTGCCCAAAGGGCAGGAAGTCAGCTGGGTTCATAGGATCCCAGCAAGATGAGCATCCAGTTTGCTCTTGAAGGTGTTCAATGTAGGCGCTTGAACCACCTGTGGTGGCAGGCTGTTCCAGACCTTGGGGGCTCGGACAGTAAAGAAATTCTTCCTTATGTCCAGCCTGAAACGGTCTTGCAGTCATCCCTAGGGGCGCTCTGGTGAACAAACGTTCCCCCAGATGCTGGTGGTCACCCCTGATAAACTTATAGGTGGCCATCAGATCACCCCTGAGCCTGCGCTTTTCCAGGCTAAAGAGCCCCAGGGCTCTCAGCCTGTCATCGTAGGGTCTGCTTCCCTGACCTCTGATCATGCGCGTGGCTCTTCTCTGGACTCTCTCAAGCTTCTCCACATCCTTTTTGAATTGTGGAGCCCAAAACTGGACAAAGTACTCCAGCTGCGGCCTCACTAAGGCCGAGTACAGGGGGAGAATGACGTCCCGGGATTTGCTTGAGAAGCATCTATGGATGCAAGCCAGCGTTTTGGTCGCTTTACTAGCCGCAGCATCGCACTGCAGGCTCATGTTCATCTTGTGGTCAATGATGACCCCCAAGTCTCTTTATTGCATAGTGCTAGCCAACATAGCACTGCCGAGCCTATAAGGATGCTGCGGGTTTTTTTTCCCAAGGTGGAGAACCTTGCATTTATCGGCGTTGAACACCATCAGATTCTCATCCGCTTCGTATAAGCTTTCTCAGCTCTCTGGTCACAGAGCCAGAGTGCTGCATAAAGGCGCCACTACCAATGCAACAACAATAGCGACAAAACCAATCCTGATAGTTGGGTGGAGGGGAGGTTTGTGCAAAGGAAAATTATCTGTACCACTTGGTAGGAAGCTGGTAGGAATTCAGGGAAGACAGTAATGTAACCAACAGCCAGCAGAGGGGGCTCCTGACACAAGTCAGGCCAGAGACAGCACAGCCTATTCCAGAGCAGTTCTGCTATGATTTCTGTCTCTTTTTCCCTAAGTGCTAATTCCATCTGTTCCTCACCATGGCTCACTATCCCCTGCATATAACAGTACAATGAACTGCTGCTTGGGCAGAACTATGCTAGACAGATTCCTGAAGAGCACAAAGCCTCTTTAGGAAGTCAATATCCCCAGGAAATACAAGCAAGGGGGAAAGAAAACACATGTCTCTGTGTGTGTATATTATATTATCTCCACCCAGAGGGTACAGCTTAGTAGTTTAAGCCCCAGATTTGCAATGCCCAGACTTGCTGGAACCACAGGGTCAAATCCCAACAGGGTTAGTTCTCTCCTTCCTTCTCCCGAGGTAGATGTAAAGGGATCCCTGCTGGTTGTGGCATATAGAGACTTTCAGCTGAAACCTGAGAATCTAAACTACTGTCTCCATTTTGCTTGGCTATTAGCAACCTCTTGGTCCAGCATGCAAGAGCAGTTGAGAGATTCACAGAAGGGATTCTTGCTCGGATGTATTTGGCCAAAAGGCCGTCCTTCACTTGTCTTTCCCCTTGTGTTGTTTTTCAGCCTGCTGCTTCACTGCCAGCCTGCTGCATCTTTGGAGCCCACCATATTTCTGTGCTGCTGTAGGAACCTTGCATACCTTGCTTTGGTATATGAGCATTTCCAGAAATTAAAAAAGGGGTTAAACGCTGATGTTTCCACTTTTCCTTCTGCCTCCCAAACAGAAGGCTGTAATGCACAGATAAAGCATCTTAAGGAGATCGTGGGCTCTGACAAAGCAGGAATTCCAATACTTCCATGGGGTTCACTAGGAAGCCTGCTGGTGCTCTGAATTTTACCTGGGAGATACCCAGATACTATGTTTCAGGGATTGGGATTTACCTTTGGATAGCTAGAAATGCCTTGTTCATCACAAGATAACCCAAACAGACCCTAAACACCTGCCAGTGTAAAGTAATGAGATGTCCATCATTTCCCAAGACGACACAGGATGTCTTCAGAGTTTTTTTCAAGACATATGGAAGACCCACATTTTTCATTTTATGAATCAAAATGTTGGCTTGAGAGGTATGGCTGTGCAGAGCAGAGCATTTGTTCTGTTTCCCTAGAACAAACAGTGCAGGAGCATTCAATGGGATTGAACTATGGTGGTAAGCAGATGGTATAAACACTGTCCAGAATGTTCCTCATCTCAAAGTGAACGATGACATTTGTTTAGTGCCTCGTGAGAAACTCCCACAGTCACCAACCTACTCAGAAGACTCTTAACTCCATAAGAAACATGTCTATGTGGTCACAAAAAATGACCCTGATGTTTCAAAACAAACATCTCTAAAATAGTTGGTCTATGACCCACCCAGTTTTCAAGGTGACGAGTAGGGCAACTTAGTAGGGCTATGCAAAACAGCACCATTTCATTTCGACTTCTGTTTCGATGGGACTGTTTCATTTCAAGTTTTGTTTTCTGTCAAAACCGCTGTTCCATTTTGTTTCGTCAAAACGGTTTCGATGTTTTGCCCATAGGCTATGAGGAAGCATGAAACTGCCTATAACTTTGTCATTTCTTGCCTGATTTGGATGAAACTTTCAGGGATGGTAGCCCTTCT